TCTTAACGTCGACCTGACACATTCTTAGTTGGACCTTGTAGTCGACTTTATGCCGATTCCATGGTGTTTCGACTAGGCAAAATGGTGAATCCGCTTGCCTGTCTGATCCGATGCTCAATTTCACCCATCCAGTAGAAGTTCTGCAATTCCTCAAAAGCCTGGCCATTCGCTACGGACAAATGGATGAATTCACTTTAAACTCATTCACATGTATTTATATTTTTCTAGATCACGGTGTTTCGCACGTTTGCAAAGGAGTTCACCCCCTCTCCGCCTATATTAATCCGTGAGATCAGGATGAGTCGAAAATGCAATCATAAGAAACCACTCATCTTGCCACCGTTATTCTAAACCTTGAGCATGGTTACTAATCATATAGACCATGGGTGATTACCTGCTTCACTCGTGCTTATTTTACTTGATTTCTTCACCCCACTACGATACCCCTTTTAGCCTCTCCCATCTCGACAATGTTGTTTCTTAAGCCTCCTACGCAGTAATAAATCCTATGGACCTAAGTGTCCGACAGCTAAAATTGACGGAGGTGGTTATTTTTATGCATGTTCATCTATCTTTTTTCGTATATACAAGACGACATGTAAGGGCCTTCTCAACTTGCACTGCCGTTGCAACTTTGAAGTCTTCAGTAAGAGACAGAATTCTATAATAGGTGCGTGCGTGATTTTCGGACGCGTGGGTATATTTGTCTTCCGGATGCAGACAGTTGTTCAGTTCAACTTTTAAAAACGCCGGGCTATGTTATCGTACTCTTCTGTTTATTGGTCATCAGGCTAGCACGTTATCGCCTCAGCGAACATCAGCAAGGGGGGGGGAGGCAGGAGAGAGCGACGGAAAAGGGAGGTGTGCAATGCCAACTGTAGGGAGCAGGATGTGATAGGAAGGCGCGCGTTTTTGTCGTTTTCTCCCCAAGTTCCACCTCACATATATCTCACTTCAGTTGCCAGCGGTTTCAGTACAGCGTATAGTAAACCGCCGGTGCCAGCGGTACGCCAGGGTTATAAGTATCCCCTTCAAAAGAAGAAGAAAATGCGATCACTGAAACAAGAATTTCATTTTCTTGACGTTTCGGATTCTGTCAAGAATCCTTATTAATCATAGGTAACCGTAGGATAGTTTGAGACATGTGCAGATGGGGGTTGGCATTGCGTTAAATTCCAGGTG